AGCGTCGGTCATATGCATATACACCTCGACCAGACGATCGCTAAGCACGCTAAGAATGCATCCCACAAAGAGAGTAGTGGCCTCATCGAATTCTTTCTGCTGATCAGCATTAAGAACGCCGATAGGCTTGCCAGTACTCACCCAGAAGCATTTCATAGCTGTCAGCCACAGAGTGACCCTGATCTGCCATCTCTTAAAGTGCACACCGGTGAATTTATCTGGCCTCAGTGCATCGGCAAAACCAACCATAGTAAAATCACAGCGCCTATAATAAGGTTTTTGGATTGTTGAGAATATAGGCATATAATAATTTAATATATTCCATAAATAAATCATGACATTACAGATGTATACTAATATTAACGCATCATTAGATCTACACATGTAAACTAAGTAGTAAAACATGAACAGATCAAATATGCACAACATGTCGAACACGTACCGAGGTGGCGGAAAGACCGGTTGCTCGGCAGGAACTACTCGCGGTTACGAGCATCGACGAAGGCGCGAAGCACGCGAGCGGAGAGGAAGGCGAGCCGTCGCGGACGAACAGGGAGCAGTCGCGCGAAGCGCTTCCCAAAAACCTTATTGCCGCCTTCTCCCGGTGCAGGACATCGAAGGCAGAGGTTTCGGAGACCTGCTCTCCCGATCGCTAGTGCACGCCGGCGAGCGGGATGGAGTAGTCTACGAGCGACGGCGCAGTACAGAGTAGGAGGCAAACCCTAGATTGATTTCACGTGTGTTGTGTGAAGGCGGCAGCTCGGTTTATATAGAGATAGGTTGCTTGATCAGGGCGCCCGCACGATCTCCACTCCGCGTAACCGAACCGGAAAAGTCGCGCGTAACTTATCCGGACTCCACGCCGTTTTCACGCACCGGATTTTTCGGAATGTTTCCAACAACAAAACAAAACTGCAAAAGGAGGCTGCATCTGCGCAAGGGTGAGGGGATGCCAACCCAATTTTGCGGACCATTCGACGCGTACGTCATGCAAGCGCGCCGCTTGCCCTGCCCGGCGAGGCGAGGCGAGCGCGTGTTCCCCCTCTTCTCTCCACCACACATGCTTCAAGTGGTTAGGAGGGCATCCTCCCTTTTAAGGAGGTCCCCCTCTCCTAGAATAAGTAAGGTGGTACTAAACTCCACATGCATGCCATCCCATAAGGTGGGCTTATGTGATTTTCCAAAGAATTAATCTTCGAATGGGCCTTAGCCCATCTATTAATTCCAACAGCTAGTACCAGGAGGAGAGAAAAGGAAAAGAAGTGGAACAAAAGAGAAGATCAGAAGAAGAGGAAAAAGGAAAAGGAAATAAGAGGAGGAGGAGAAAAGGAAGAAAAGGGTGGAGGGAGCAAAGGTAGGGTTTTATTACGATTTCTGGTTTCAACGTTAATATGGATTTTGATATCATGTATTGTAAATCGTGGGAGAAATATAATCAGTTACATGTTAATTGGGAATCCACTGATACCTTGATCATGTTGATGTCCTATTTTTTAGAAAATGATTTGCAGCTAATAGGTGTTATAACAATAATCTGCCTGAAACTTATTTTTTAAACAAATGCTGGAAATTAGCCATTGTGCTTGGAGTTTGAACAAGGGAATGTCCGAACACATTTTATGGCTGGTAGAGGATGCGTTGGCTGCGTGTATCAGTTTTTTTTTTAGGGAAATGGGTAAAACCAGCCTCTACATCCAACCAAATGTGCAGTTAAAGCATAATCATGTGCATATGGTTTATAAGGAAAGGTTAATAACCATTTTCACATGCTTCCTTACTATGTACCTCAGTGTATTAAGAACAGTACAAAAATTGGATAGGCTGAGTGAAGCATGTTTGTCAAGTAGCCTAAAAGCGGGCGTATTGATATATTATATGTTTGTAGTGGTATATTCAGGAAAACTTTAGAGCTCAGACAAATCTAACTACGTGTAAGCAAAAATTCTATTGTGCATGGACTAGTGAGCTAGCCAGGATGGTGGCTCTGCCGCTACATATCGTGGGTAAAATAGAACCCCTGTACAAATGAAAGAAAATGTGATCATCACTATTTGGTTTCTGAATTTAAACTTATGTTTGTGGAAGGTTCTGGCTTCTGCAGATAATTGAAAGTACGTTCAGTAGCCAATCTATATATTTTTAACAAAATCAATGTTCATAAAAAATAAACTTTGGTCCCGTTTTGGATAAAAGTTGGCACGCTTTTCAAACTGCTAAACAGTGTATTTCGTGCGAAAACTTTATATATAAAAGTTCTAAAATATTAGATTAATCCATTTTTTTAAGTTTGTAATGATTAAAACTCAATTAATCATACGTTATTATCATCTCGTTTTACGTGAAACACTTAATCATTATCTCCATCTTCATGTTCAGATATTCAAACACCACCTTTATTCATTGCCCTTTCATATTTATTCTAGGTTTCTATTCTTCTATTATTTTTCCTTGCTGAATACTTTTATACTCATTACTCACCACTGCCTTCTTATTTCAATTTTAAATACTTTATTTCCTAATTACGCACAAGTAGAACATGGATCTCAAAAGTTCTTCCACCATGACAATCTTGACATATGAAATACATGGGTAGAAATTAATTAGAAAACATGATCAGATTTGTTGATTTAATGTTTATAATTTAGCTTTATTTGTACATGTAACATTTAGAATTTATATTTATTTTGTAGTTGTACTAATTTTTGTTGAAATTATAAGCACATAATGATTTAATTTATTCCATAAATAAATCATGACATTGCAGATGTAAACTAGCATGAACACATCATTAGATCTACACATGTAAACTAAGCAATAAAACATGAACAGATCAAATATACGTAACATGTCGAACACGTACCGAGATGGCAGAAAGACCAGTTGCTCGGCAGGAACTACTTGCGGTTGCAGGCGTCGACAAAGGCGCGCAGCACGCGAGCGAAGAGGAAGGCGAGCCGTCGCGGACGAACAGGGAGCAGTCACACGAAGCGCTTCCCAAAAACCTTATTACCGCCTTCTCCCGATGCAGGACGTCGAAGGCAGAGGTTTTGGAGACCTGCTCGCCCGATCGCCGGTGCACGCCGGCGAGCGGGATGGAGTAGTCTACGAGCGACGGCGCAGCACAGATTAGGAGGCAAACCCTAGATTGATTTTGCGTGTGTTGCGTGTAGGCGGCGGCTCGGTTTATATAGAGATAGGTCGCTTGATTAGGGCGCCCGCACGATCTCCACTCCGCGTAACCGAACAACATAAGTCGCGTGTAACTTATCCAGACTCCACGCCATTTTCACGCACCGGATTTTTCCCGAAATTTCCCGCAGCAAAACAAAACTGTAAAAGGAAGCTGCATCTGCGCAAGGGTGAGGAGCCAATTTTACGGACCATTCGATGCGTAACATGACGCGTACGTCTTGCACGCGCGCCTGCCAGACGAGGCGAGTGCGCATGTGTTTCCCCTCTTCTCTCCACCACACATGCTTCAAGTGGCTAGGAGGGCATCCTCCCTTTTAAGGAGGTCCCCCTCTCCTAGAATAAGCAAAGTGGTACTAAACTCCTCATGCACGCCATCCCATGAGGTGGGCTTTTATGATTTTCCAAAGAATTAATCTTCGAGTGGGCCTTAGCCCATCTATTAATTCCAACAATTTTATACCTTAAGCTATATTAGTTAATGACCATTTTATATAATAAACCTTTTTATTGAAGGGATTGTATAGTGAACTTGGGCAGATTTGTAAACGATTCGTGGTGTACAATATCTGCAGCTTTCACCAACAGCCATAATTGTGTCCAACAGCTGAATAAGTCTGACACATATACTACTTTTGTGGCCAATAGCCTTCTTGTCGAATGTCGATCGCTAAGCTTTTGTTAGAAAATGTGTCACCGACATCATGGTTATTCTGTTCCACTAAGATAATAAAGCTAATTACTGGCATGCTAACACTTTCTTGACGAGGTTTGTTCTTCTTCTTTTGCGGAGCAAGCAAAAGCTTTTATTCAGCCTATGTTTTGTGTGCATCCAGATTTTGAGTACACACATTTCTTTATATTAATTGAGGCCCTTTTAGAAGTTGTTACATTTATCTCATTGTATCCACATGCACGGAGTGTTATCACAAAACACATGAAATCTGGTAAGTTTGAAATTTATTGAAGAAATGTTTTAGACTAACATGTGAGTGGACTAGATCTTTTTCGAGCGTTTTCTTTGATAGTTTATAAACTATATTGCCGTAAGTGTTTCGTGTAGGATTGAGAACCGCTCTTTACTAGGATAGGGTGATTTGCCTAGTCTGCAAGGTTGTTTATATAAAGTGTCTGGTTTTGTAGCTAAAGAGGGGTAAATCATAATTTTCACATAGTTGAGGGGGGATATATCGGATTTAACTCAATTTCAAATTTATATGATGAGGCACATGATTGGAACAACAAAAGAAAATTAAAATATTCTTTTGTCCCCACATTATCACTACTTTTTCGAACATAGATTAATAAAAATTAATGGAAATAACCTATGTGACAAATATGTTCATGTTATTTTTACATATCAAATTTCAATAGTATTATTGATTTAAGATTTTAAATTTTAGTTAAATACAACTTAAACATTTGTCTATGTTAGACATTTAGATAGCTCATAACACGTGGGGTATTAAGGGTGTACTCCCTCTTGACTTTTGATCAAAATGGAGTATTATTTGGTTAGATGCATCAACTTGCCAAGATAAACCTTAGGCAGATAACAATTTCTTAGGTTGTTTAGTTACTATTACTATGGGCTTATGGCTAACCATACTAATTTTCAAAGACAGAATTTCTTAGTTAAGCTTGCCTAATGTAAGGTTTGACTATGTTAATCGTCGACCAAACATCCCCTAATGTAAGGTTTGACCATGTTAATCGTCGACCAAACATCCCCTAAATTTCCAGTTCGCTCGTCGATGATGTTGACACAACTAGTAATACATTTTACAGCAAACATCAATTAAACGGACGGCTATAAAGCCCATAATGCTTCCAGGATACACCATTTGGATCTGACGATAAAGAGGCATCCAACTTTGTAATGCTACAAGCAATACATCGGGCAACTACATGACCTAAATCAAAAATGGAATGGTTTTGCTCATATTAACGACTGTATCTTTAACAATCTCCAGGACTACAACTATGCCGAGTCTACTTGGCTCACAACAGTACAAGAAATTGGGATGTCAATTCTTATCAGAAAGCGAGAAGAAAAAAGATACAAAATGGTAAAGGGCCTCCAGTTCTGAACCCTCCCAGTTATGACCACCACCACCGCTTCGATGCCTTCCACGACAGACTGCAAGGCTGGCTGCCAACTACGGTTTCCCTCGTTCGCCTTGCTGGGTAGAACTCAATACGGCGTAGTGGAACTAAAGCAAAATTGTTCCAGCATTAGACAACATCCAACTAAATTCAGGTTGAGGCAACTTTCTTTCGGACAACTCTCTTCCTGCGGGGCTTGGACAATGCAGCTTCTGTTCCACCTTGCTTGATGCCGAGAAGACCAAGGCCAGATACAATCGCATCCTTCGATATAAACCACCTTGAATCTTGTTGGTCTCCAGCAACCTCGACTGGTCTTTTATATGCTCTCAGCAGCCGATCTGAGTACTGTGGATCAGCTTCCTCCCCAAGCCATGTGCGTCTCGATGATTCACCAATCTGAATATTCGTCAATCTGCAATACAAATGGCACCAGGATTAGTGACAAGAGTGTGGCCCCCATAAAATGCAATTAAAACACTCCTGGAAGACTGGAACACGGGCAATAGAAATAGTGTGAACCGATGGAATTATTAAAGAAAGCAATTATTACAGAAATATGCAACTGTTAAAATTAAAGTGAATTATAATATAGGGTGTGTTTAGTTCACGCCAAAATTGGAAGTTTGGTTGAAATTGGAACGATGTGACGGAAAAGTTGGAAGTTTATGTGTTTTGATGTGATGGAAAAGTTGGAAGTTTGAAGAAAAAGTTTGGATCTAAACAAGGGCATAATGAAGATCAAATTATCTAGCATACACAATTAGCTCCTATATACAACTTTTAGTCAACAACTCAAGATACAAACAAAGCACTGCTGAAAAGTTCACATAGTCGTTATGCAGCCACAGCCATATCCATAATTATGAACTCTAACCACAACCCAACTGTGGAAGGTCATGAGCATACGATTTATCACTAAATAAAGAAATTCAACAAGCATTTCTCACAAGAATAGTACATATATCAGGGGACAGTTAACAATCCCTAAATTTCAAAGGCATAACCTAAAACCATATACTATGAAGCAAATCAGATCTAGTGCTGCGAGAACTAAAATCGAGCAGTTACCCGCTAATCAAACTGCATGTTTAGGATGTATTAAATTTAAATTTGCCAATAATATTTTTTCCATGAACACAGTAACTGTGATTATCTGCTGGAACTGGGCATGAACTTCCTAATCATCATCAGATAAATGCAAACCTTCCTATTTCAATTTTGATAGCCAACCGGCGATGATTTCCAGTTTCTCATATGTAACAGGAAGGAGAGAGCCACAGGCCTAACAACAGGTACCAAAAGGTTCATACTTGATGAAATTTTTTGAAGAGTGTTCTTATCTGAAACGGTATGTTATACCAATAGAGTGAACTCCAAAACTCTGGGAAACCCATGTTTTTATGGCTCTACCACTGCAAATTGCTACTTAATCTTGTTTCTAGATAATACAGATATCAGAAATAATCATTTCCGTGAGTGCCTAGATCTCAATGAAGGTTGCTGTCCACTTTCACAGCCCAAGACAAAAAGGTGAAAAATCAATCAGAACATATTAACAACCCATGTAATTAAAATTGATACAGACTAGCACCAACAACAATATCCTATGCACCAACAATGGTTTAATCTCAGAAAACCAAGTTTCTGCCTTTATGCATAACAAAGTACACTATCTGTGGGATATTCTAGATAGCTATAGTTACCTTAGTGCTGTGCTGAAGAAGATTGCCACACCAAGAACATCAAATCGCCTGACCATATACTGATCCAGTCCACACAATAGTTGATACCGCAAGTTTGCATATAGTCCTAGGAAGGCTCCATAGCCAAGGGCATTTGTGCTGACAGAAGGAATGGTAACCGATAACCTATATATAAGATTAGAAAAATAAAGACCCAAAGGTTAAATTCCAGAATGATTAGATCAGAAAAGCTTAGAAGAATCTTTTCTTATGACTCTATGAATCAAAACTGTGATGAACCCACCTCCTTTCCTTTCTTGCAGACAAGGCTTTTGAGAGACCACCTTGAATAGAACCAGCAACTACCCCTAACAAGCTAAGCTCTGCCGCTTTGTAAAAGAAAGCACTGATTCGTTTTTGTAGATCAAACTGTCTCAAAGGATAACTCTTCTCAAAAATGTTGTTGGGAAGTTTCTCAATTGCATTCTGGAAGTCAAATCGGGATGTGCTCCCATATGAGCGGCATGGTGCCAGAAGCCCAAGAACCATCACATTGCAACAAGATGCAGTCAGAGCATTGACGACAGCCAAATCCCATTCTTGCTCAAACCTAATTTCTCAGAGTTAGAAGAGTTGGTAAAAATTAAACTGTTGAAAAGGAGATCGCAGATAATATGCATACCTCTCCTTACGTATGTTCATCTCCCACCAAACAGATGAGAAAAAGGTAGCCATGAACTCAAAAGCTATCTTATGTGGGAATGATGGATCTGCAAGCGTTCTGCATTTTGACAGAACACGAGACAATTTAAACTGGTGTTACGAAAATCAACAATGGAATAAGCCAGATTTACAACCAAGACATCTCCATTCATATTTAACCAAGCATTTATTGAGTAAGTGTGGCCAACGAAATGCAAGCGTTTGTTTGATGGAGTTCACCAACTACTGAAATACAAGCTAAGCTTGATATAAAGTTGGAAGTTAAGACTTCTTAAGGTACCAAAACAAGAAATATGTTACAGTTTGGTTTTAAATTCAGAAAACCTACAAGCTAAGTGATAAATCTATATATCCTATATAGATGGAACCAAAATTATGGTTACCAACTTCAGTCATTTCAATCATAAAACCAAATAAGAAGAAAAAGCACTTCTTGAGACAGTATTCATGAACACGCTTTTCTAATAAAGGAGGGGAACATCTCAACTTTGCTTTCTGGCTTGCATTTAAGTCCAAATAACTAAATCTCCATTCCTACTGCCAGCATAAAACACCCCTCCCTCAAACAAAATGAGGCAAAGAGAGCTAGGTGTCACCTATCATCTTCAAATAAGTTATAGTGCCACCCAAGCTACTACATATTTGTTTATCTTTCATATTCCAAATATGTTATATTGGCCCTTCCCCAAACTTTTATTTAAAATAAGCTTCTTTTGTTTCAGCTATGAAGGCCATTCAATGAGCATGAGTAAATTAAAATGATGTAAATAATTACATGATGAGAAAAGATTTCTTTAAAATAAAGAGCATATACAGCTAAGAGCACATCAAGGTTTACCCCTACATCTATTGTTATCAATAGTTTTTGCTTGCCATTCTTTTTGTTCAGTAAAATATTGAACAATGATACTCCATATCATTTAAGACAGAAACTGTGTGGCTACTATCGACAAAATATGAGCACAAGACTTCCAGGAATACATAGGAACAGACAATATACTGCAGGACTGACGTTAAAAGTATAAACACTAAAATAAACCTCCACTCTGATTCATTAGTTCATGAGAGCAGATTTTGCACATACTGTTAGAAATTAGCTGCTTTTTGCATATGCAGTCGCTAAACACATTTTTGTATATACCACTGGAATGACTAAAACTGCTGCTTGATGGCACTTTCCACCAGCTAGGCAAATAAACCATGCGGGGTTGAGTTAAAATGTTAAGGTTGCCCACTGCACATGTTGCCAATAGTATTCATGCCGCCTGTACTCAATGAAAGCTTTATCCCACCTCCACAACGAATTCTAGATATACATCCTATCAATGCTTCCCTACTAAGCAAAATCTGCAGCATGTTACCTATCTTCCGCACGCCATGGCAGAGGTGAGGTCTGTATAATGGTCAGTGGTGTACTATGGAAAGGTGCAACTAGAAGTGGAATAGCATCAACAAGTACATCACAATGCCATGGATAACAGAAACGTGCAGATGGCAAGGTGCACCCTACTTCAAATGAGATCAACCACCCCTAGTCCTGTTCTGATTGTGCCAAACCATACTCTATGCTCTCCCACATAGGCACAGGTGATGGTGCTGAGGCAAGTCCATGTCTATACATGGGATCCATGCCAGCATTCTTCTAAGGGGTGCCACCTGAGAAATAGCTAGCAGTCATGTTGCACGGGGCAAGCAAGATGTGGAATTTGGAGGAAACAATGATGAGTTACGGTCACAGCTGTGGAATAGAACGGATATGGTATAGAGGGAAAAGACTTCCATTTTGGTGTTTCAAAGAGCTTCCCACTCTGGTCAATGTTTCAACATGTGGTCCTTGGTAACTAATTCCCCAGATGTTCAGCTGGTGCAGTGTGGCATGAAGCAGCAAGCTGAAACATTGTTCCGGTGGTATATACAAAAATATTATTTTCGTAGTTTGACTGGTAAACGAAACTTCTCACAAATTGGGTGGTTGGGGCATTACAACAAAAAAGGTATATGAATAAACCTAGAAATAGTGAGGTTATCTCTTTTCTCTCTGTATATTCCTTGCAGCAAAATGTGCAACCAAGAAAATATTAGCAATCTAATCATAGTACAACAAGGTAATTTATGCCTGTTACAACATGAATTATGCCTTAGAAGGCATATGAATGAATGCCAAAAAAATATTATATGCAAAAAACATACACAATGTAGTAGACAAGAAACTAAGTGTGGACATCTAGCTGTTACCTTCCAACAAGACCTCTGGAAAGCCATCCAGGAAGAGCTCGTGAGAAGGACCTAGAATGAGTAGGCCTTGCAAATATCGCCAAATATCGGACCATCTGGGCAGAACTTACCAAACCCTAGATAACATATATCATGATCAGTCAATGCAATTCAGTCTTTGGTACCAAAGTATGCCATGAGAAACAAAAGATGAAATCTTACCATCTCATAAGCTTGGCGGAGACCAGCAGGCAAATTACTCATCGTTTTACACCACTCTTGCATCACAGCATCCACAAACTCTCTATTGAAAAGCTGGTACAATGGAAGAAGAAATAATCAGCACATAGGTTTCAATATTTTCCAGTATTTAGAAATAAATGTATTTGATTATAAATATTTAGGATTTCACCTCCTGAATGACAATTCGTCTCCGAAAAAGGCCACCTTCTTCTTCGTCGCCATCATCAAAATCATCAAAGTAATCATCATCATCGCCATCATCATCTCCACCATCACCACCACCATGACCAATCCTTTTCCCAATATCACCACCGCCACCACCTGTTGCCAGCTGCAACATTTTAAAAGAAGAGGCATATGATGAATATATGCAATCCAGTCATCAAACTCACAAATTAATATGGCAGTACGATGGAATAACAGATATTTTGCCTTCAAAGTAAAAATATACATATGCATACAGAACTGACTTATTAAGCTAACAGCTCATCAAGCTTGTCTCAACATGACAGGATAATTTCATCTAGTTCATAAAAACAAAATGGTGCGGTACTTTTTTTTTCTAGAGCAAAGAAATGAAGCACTCGGTGAAGTTGGACATACGATAGTTATACGAATCCCAACCTACCACCAGATCAACATCAGTCAGAGAAATAACATGAGTTTGGGTATAACATTAAGTCTATAGTAATTGGCCTAGTACTCTATTCGAAGCAAATTCAGGGGAACATATTATTCTGCTGAAAGATACAAACAGGAAATTGCTCCCATATCATGAATAATCCTCTACAAACCCCACACATGAGCCATTGCGTCATCAAACCTTATCCATTATATTTTGGCCTTCGAGTCCATCCATCCAGTTTCAAAACGAATTTAGATTGATATCCTCACCTCTCTACCATCCAATTCAGAACAACACGAAGGCTATCTTATCTCCCGAACCCCCTAAACCTATCTCTGAAAAGGATGAGGATGATGATGATGATGATGATTAGCCACCCTACCTCGGGCGTGATCTTCTTCCGTCCCTTGGAGAGGTCGACCTTCCGCTCGAGCGTGACGGCGCCGAACGACCCGTACTGCTTCCCACCCTTCATCGCCGGCGGGGCGCGGGTGGGCGCCGAGGCCGGCGCGGCGGACCCGGACGCGGCGAGGCACCGCTCCAGCGACGACGCCGCGTCGGACCGGCCCCACCCCGCGGCCGGGGAGGGCGACGCGGCGCCCGCGCCCGCGGAGGAGGCGGAGACCGCGAGGCGCGGGGCGGCGCGGGCCCTCCGGCGCGGGGGTGCGGGGAGGCGGAGGCGGAGGAGGCCGGTGGCCGGGTTGGGGCGGCGCGGGTGGTGCGCCCCGGCGCGGGGCGCGGCCGGATGGAAGGCGGCGAGGGACGCCATGGATGGGGGTTGGTGGTGGTGGTGGTCGACGCCCTCCGGTGCCCTCCGGAGGCTTTATCGAAAGAGAGGGGAAGGGGGGAGAGGAGAGGCTATCGGATGATTTTCTTTTCTTCTTTTCTGTTTGTTTTTTTATTATTATCAAATCAAATAGTAATCGGTTGAGTGATGAGGCTGCCTTGCCTGCTGGGGAATTCCCTGCTTTTTTTAGCGTGGGGGGTTAGAGATTTGGATTAAGGGAGCTTTTCTGGGTTGTTTGACACTGAAGATTCTGGCACGTGGGGTGTAAAGAGAAAAAAAGGGTCACGGGCTTAGTGACTCTGGTTCAAGTTTTGCTCCGATTACACTCACATTTGAATTGGAAGGAAAGAAGTGACTATAGTAAATGTGTTTTTTTTTTGATTGGATGAAATTCATGTGAACAGCAAAATGTGGTAAGTATAGAAAATTAAAAAAAATCGTACTAACTCTAATTAATTAAATTCTTAAAAACATATTTCTAGCAATGTTGTGATACCGATAAAAGAAATCGTGGCATGACTCGTGGTGGGATGGCAAATTGTTATTATCACACCATGAACAGTGGTACCACATCATCTTGGCTCAAACAAAATCCAAAGGAAGTTCGCAAACCAAAATTTGAATTTGAACTCTGTATAACTTCTAAAATTAGAATGGAATGCATTCAAAGTTAATTAATTGGAATCCATTCCATTTGTACGAGATTCATTGAATTTGTTTTGGACTAGAAATAGAACAAACGCATATACAAATGCTTGAATGTAGAATATGAATGGAAGATGCAATACTGGAGAAATTGATTGGGAAGTGGTGAAAACTATTAGAATATGTAGGGAAGATGGGCAAAAATAGCAAAAAATTAATGAAAAACTGTGGCATGACCCTTGTATCATTTGGAAAACCTAATTTTGAAGACAGATCAATGTACAATGTATTTTCATCAACACAAGTACACAACAATTTCAAGTCCATAACATCCACATTTTATCGCAACATAATGTAAAGTCCATCAACACACATTATTAATTCCGTCTAAAATGAGCTCAATGGGCTGAAGATTCATCATCTTTTTGCCCATGAATCCTTCTCCTTTCTAAAGGAAATTCCCAATAGATAGGGGTCCAAAATCGCATCTAAATTCTATTTTTTTAAAAAAAAACAAACATCATACCCTTCATAGGGATTTTTTTTTTGCACTTCGCATTTGAAATTTGAACTTTTCCAATTTTGTTAAAATTGTCCCGCTAAATCTTGTTTTGACATGGCTCAAAACATGTGAATTTCGAACGAAAATTGTCAAAATTGCATATCTGGCATATTGTTGGTCTAATAGCATATCTTTAAATATTCTAGATATGGCAATTCATGCATTAGTTTCAAGTCACACCTTCTCCGGTCAATGATATTTCAAGTCTCTCTTTTTTATTACTTAAATGGAGTTACTCGTGAAGTTAATCCGCAAAAGGCTACATTTGGCATTGTTATACTCGTATCATCAATAAAACCGTCTAAGGTTGTCTTGCTTGGGCATTTTAAGTACTTTGCACACATAGGTGGTGTGTCCTCATCTGTGGGTACTTCTTGACCCACTCTAAGAAATACCCAGCAAATTAAATATGACAATTGACAAAAAAAATATATAAAAGATTGAATGAAACATCATGTTATCCCTGGCAATGTTTCATGCATAATATAAGCTTCGAGGAAAGATGTGGTAGTAAATTTATCAACTTCGGCAATTCTCCTAAACCATTGTGCTGAGGAAAGATTTTGCACATGTGAGGGTTCATCAAAGTAGCACTTTTATTTCTTGTTTATATTTTTTTTTCATGCCGACCTTATTCAACTATAGATTAATCTCTCCTTTTGATATAGGAGAGGGGAATTGGAGTGAGGCACAGCAACGTTAATATGGCGGGAGTTAGTGCTAGTTTGTCAATACTAGGTGCAATTGGGGGCCAGGGGGGAGTGATTATGTTTGTGTAGCCATTTTAGGCATGGTATTGTTTTTAATTTGGGGTAAATTAAAATTATACTCCAAATTATAAGTCGCTTTGACTATTTTTTTCTAATCAATTTTTTGAAGTTTGACTAAGTTTATAGAAAAATATAGCGAAATTTTCAACATAAAACAAATACATTATTAAAATATATCAAATGTTAGTTTTAATAAAAACCAACTTTGGTATTTTAGATGTTGCTAATTTTTTTACATAAATTTGGTCAAATTTTTAAAAATTGACTAAGAAAAAAAGTCAAAAATGACTTATAATGTCATAATGTGAAATGGAGGGAGTACTACTTTGGACAAATTTGGAGGATATTTCCCCCTAAATCATGGAGTGCATAGGAGAATGACCTAGAAATCACTCGCATAGTTTTCAGTGTCTTCACACCAGTAAAAATAAATCTAAGAAAGAAAGTGATGTTTTTTTTTAAAATTTCTAAATAGTATTTAAATTGCTCCTACCATGCAATATAATAAAAGTGGATAGAAAATACTGTATGCTAAAATCCCGCATGCAGACAATTGTGGATATACGGCAAATCTCTACTAAGCGCACAAATTCCATAATAGTTTTATGATGATTTTATTTCAAAGGATAATGCCTATTCTTATATGTTAACTCTTGACATAGTTTGATTACCTTATCTCTATTTTTGAACTTGTAAAAACCTATCCCTCAACTTATCAAACTATTAGAAGTCATCCCTTTGTCATGTTTCTTGTAATATCAATGTGTGATTCAAGTGGGAAGTTAGCTCTTCTTGTCATTAAGAGATTTTACATGCACGGATCTAATTTGCGGTGGATGTTGATTGTCAGAATTTATACGAGTCTATTGTGGGCCTGTTCACTTTAATGCCATTTTCAACCTTACCAAATTTTGGTAAAGTTGTCAAAAAAAAGTGGCTACATTTAGTTTGCCGCTAAATTTTTGTAACTATATAAGAAATCATGCCAAAATTTTGGTAAGTTGCCAAAATTTTGAAAACTATGCTAAAATTTTGGCAATGCCAAAATTTAGTAAGGTTGAAAATGGCGTCAAAGTAAACATGCCCTGTATTTTATGTTCCCCTCCATAATACATAGGCACTAGTATTATCTACTCCAAATTTTTATACTTGAGAAATCAACCTTTTCACAACTCAAAAAATAGAAGCTAAAAATATGAGTAACAAGAAACAAGCATTTTCCTAGAGCAAATACCAGGCTCTCATAAAATAAAACATAGAAAATGGACAAAAATTCCACATTACGACTGTGCTCAAAGACGCACCACGTACGGTGCGTGCCGATAGCCATCCAACATTGACGCACATCCAACTTGACCCCACAAAACACAAGCCAACGTTTGTCGTCTACTGCAGGAGCGCGCACGCCAAGTCGGCGGAAACTTGTGGCCACCGCAGCAGCAGATAGCCTCCCTTCCCCCTCCCACCTTCTCTTCCAGCGGCCACACCAGCGCCCCAATGGCTTCCCCCCTCGCCGTCTTCCACCCCGCCTCCGCCACCGCCGCCGCCGCCGCTCGCCGTCACCACCCCCCGCGCCCGCCGCACCTGCACCTCCACCTCCCGCTCCACCACCAGCCTTCGTCGCCCCGCCGCAGGTTCGCTGCCGAGGTACTCCCGAACCCCTGTACTCAACCCTCGTATCCTCCGTGAAATGGACGAGCGGCTTTCCGAGTGTGACGCGTTCCGTTCTAGGACCCCGCAGTTCGCGGTCGGCGGTGCTGACGGTGGCACCGGCGGCGGCGGCGGGAGGAGGGCGAGGGGAGGCGGTGACGTCGATGTCGCCGCGGTCGGCGCGGCGCTGCGGGACGCCAGGACGGCCGACGAAGTGGAGACCCTGGTGAAGGGCTTCCTGGACGACGGTGGCGGCGGCGAGGAGCACCTGCCGCTCCAGGTGTATACCTCGGTGATCCGGGGGCTGGGCAAGGAGAGGCGCCTCGACGCCGCGTTCGCCGTCGTGGAGCACCTCAAGAGGGGAAGCGGGAGTGGCGGCGGCGGCGGCGGCGTCAACCAGTTCGTCTACAACTGCCTGCTGGGCGCGGTCAAGAACAGTGGGGAATTTGGGAGGATCCACGATGTGCTTGCAGACATGGAGGCACAGGGGGTTCCCCCAAACATTGTGACATTCAACACTCTGATGTCAATCTATGTCGAACAAGGCAAGATTGATGAGGTCTTCAGGGTGTTTGACACCATCGAGGGCAGTGGCCTGGTGCCCACCGCGGCGACATACTCGACAGTGATGTCGGCCTACAAGAAGGCTGGCGATGCATTCGCGGCACTCAAGTTCATCACCAAGCTAAGGGAGATGTACAACAAGGGTGAATTGGCGGTGAATCATGAAGATTGGGACCGAGAATTTGTCAAGTTTGAGAAGCTGACTGTCCGTGTCTGCTATATGGCGATGCGGCGGTCTCTTGTGGGTGGTGAGAATCCAGTAGGTGAGGTGCTGAAAGTTCTTCTTGGCATGGATGAAGCTGGGGTGAAGCCAGACAGGAGAGATTACGAGCGGCTTGTGTGGGCATGTACAGGTGAGGAGCATTACACCATTGCCAAGGAGCTGTACCAAAGGATCCGTGAGCGTGGTGATGGCGTGATCAGCTTATCTGTGTGCAATCATCTGATTTGGCTGATGGGCAAGGCTAAGAAGTGGTGGGCAGCTCTTGAGATTTATGAGGATTTGTTGGACAAAGGCCCCAAACCGAATAACTTGTCGTATGAGCTCATCATGTCACATTTCAATATTCTACTCAATGCTGCAAAGAGAAGGGGCATTTGGAGGTGGGGTGTAAGGCTGCTTGATAAGATGCAACAGAAGGGCTTGAAGCCTGGAAGCAGAGAGTGGAATGCCGTCCTTCTTGCGTGTTCTAGAGCAGCTGAAACATCTGCTGCAGTGGATATATTTAAGAGAATGATAGATCAAGGGTTGACACCGGATGTAGTTTCTTACGGAGCGCTGCTGAGTGCGCTTGAGAAGGGAAAGCTGTATGATGAGGCACTCCGAGTTTGGGAACACATGTGCAAGGTAGGCGTTAAGCCGAACCTACATGCATATACAATCTTAGTATCAATTTACATTGGCAAGGGGAACCATGCTATGGTAGATTCTGTTCTTCGTGGTATGCTGTCAGCAAAGATAGAACCAACTGTTGTTACGTTCAATGCGATAATCAGCGCATGCGTGAGAAACAATAAGGGTGGCTCTGCTTTTGAATGGTTCCATAGGATGAAAGTGCAGAACATTGAGCCAAATGAAATTACATATCAGATGTTGATTGAAGCTCTTGTACAAGATGGTAAACCCAGGCTTGCCTATGAGATGTACATGAGGGCTTGCAACCAAGGGCTTGAGCTTCCTGCAAAATCATACGACACTGTAATGGAGGCATGCCAAGATTATGGTTCCCTCATAGATCTAAATTCTTTGGGTCCTCGGCCTGTTAAGAAAGTGGAACCCATCAGGATAGAGAACAAGTTTTCGAGTAGTTATTATGTTGGGGATCTTCCCAGCAGCACAAAACATTTTGGTAGCACTGGAACATCTAGTTTATATAGATACAGAACGGAAAGGTGGATCATGTAGCATTCGGCCCCCTCTTTTTTCTGAACACTTCAAACTCACTCCAAGTCTCCAACATTGAGAACACACTGATATTTGTTTGTAAGTTGCCTAACTTGTAATTTGTAAACATTCAATCATTATACAGTAGTGAATTTGTTATTTGCTTTATACGGAGTAGAAAGTAGAAGGAGATTGCCTCATGGACTTAGAATTGTTTTTCCCATTTTGCTTATTTGAAATGCCTCCAATTGTTTGCATTAATCTCCTTCAAATATACCCACTTTGCATATGAATAATGTTCAATTTTGTATTTGATTATAAATGTGATATCTTCATTGTGCATCATAGTCACTTAACCGCCTTTTTTTTCCTGAAGTGAAATGAGCTTAACACCAATTGGAACTGGGAAATCTGAAGGAACTTCACGTGATTTTTATGCAAACATTTATATTCTCAAATGAGTTACGAGAAAAGTCCGGTTTTCAAAAGATGCAACTAGGGTTCTTGAAAGAGAAATTTATGCTGAAAATCCAGCAGGTCCCAGTAGCACAAATTAAATTTGATCAATTAACCGTATCGATCAGGAGCAGCAGGTCTTTCCACTACTGCACTACCTTGAGTTTTCAGGCTCGAGAGTTCTGATTGACTAGGATTTTTGAATAATATAGAAGTACTGAAATTTAAACAAGAAGATTGCAAATGTGCAAGAATAAGCTCTTGCAACAGTTCTGATCAGCTTCCTGCTTGTGACTGCCTACCCGTTTTCTCTTCTTTTCAATGGACTGTCCACATTTCCTCAAGAAAATTATGAATGATGCACCCACCAAAATTTTGTACTCCCTTTGTTTTTAGTTAAAAAAGAAATTGGAGGGAGTACTTGACAACTCAACTGTTTGGATTAAACGGCAGTTTCTTATTTTCAATGTGAATCAAGATGCAGGGGCTCAAGGGAAAGCATTACACGGTGTGGTAGCGAATCCATGGTGTAAGGTTTTATCCCCTAGGTTTAAATCCCGATGCTCAGGAATATTACGCACACGCGGTTACGCTATCACTAAAAATTTACACACATGCTGTTCGTCTCTTAGAGAGTGCATTCTCAGGTGTGAGTGTAGTATGCGTACGCATCTTCTTCCCACTAATTAGGAAAATATGTTAGAAACTATGTTTTGAGAGAAGAAAATACTCCCTCCATTTAGAATAATTGTCAATTTCAATCAAATCATTTGTTTTAAAATACGTCAACACCATTCATTAGTAGTTTACCCCTACTCTAGATACTTGTATTGTGGATTCAAGCCTTTCCCCATATTCACTTTATTTTCTCAGCCCCTTTGAAACAAAGGAAAAAAAAACAAGAATTCTATGAGAAATAATCCTATGAAAAACATCCCTACCAATTCTTTTGAAATTTCTATTGTAGAGAAATTTTAGAGAAAAAATAAGTACGAGGTTCCACCTCATGTTTTCTTCTTCCAGTGTCATGTAATTCTGCATTTTTCTTATGTGCCAATCAAACTACGGTGTTGAAACTTTCTTTGTGTCATGAAATCCCATACAAATCCAACCAACATGGCATTTTATTCGTATGTTTTCCTATTATTGTATTCTTCTCTATTTCCAAATCATTGCCAAGGGTAAATTTGACATAAATTTTCAACCAACCCGTTGTTTTTGTTTTACCTGTGCTACGGTCAAAATGTTTAGAAAGGTCGGAGGGAGTACTATGCTTGTGTTTAGTGCCACGTTAAAATTGGAAGTTTGAAGAAATTAAAACAATGTGACAGAAAAGTTAGAAGTTTGTGTGTAGTAAAATTCGATGTTATGGAAAAGTTAAAAATTTAAAGAAAAAAGTTGAAATCTAACCAGGACCTATAACCAGTAGTGAAAAAAATAGTTTTATGAGTAAAACACACTTACCCTACAGAAAATAAACAATAGTATGACCATCAGTGACAAAAATACTCCTTGCAGCGGACGTTTGCTTGACGCCATCGAACAAATCCGGCTCGCAAGTAATTGACCCCCAACCCCAACAGCACGACGATAAACTCACCAAACCCGTCCCACCGCAGCCCACCGACACGTGGGCCCCACCCCCTCCATAACCCACCTGTCAGCGACATCGATGGCATTCCCGTAATTCCGACCGCATGATTCCTCGGTGGCCGCTGCGATTTGCTCCTCCTCGACGTCGCCTCCTCCCTCTTCGTCGACACCTCATCTCCTCCCCAAGAACCAGCCGACGACGGTAGAGAGAGAGAGAGAGAGGTTGCTGTTTCGATGCGTATTTCTGCAGCTTTGCTTTTCTCTCTCTCCTCTCCTCTCTCTCTCTCTCTCTCTCTCCCTTCTCCACGCACGCACATCATCATTATTGGGAGGCTCGTCCCTGTCCGTCGCTCGCCTGCTCTCATCCTCTCCCTCTCTCTCTCCTCCCCCGTTTCTCGGTTAGATTCACGCCTCTCCAACCTCCTCCCCCAACCCCAAGAATTCCCGATCGATTGATTGACTGGCCGACCCGCCCGTTGGTGCGTGTTCGTTGATCCTTTTTTTGCCTCTGGTGAGGAGGAGGGGGTTTGATTCTTTTGTGTTCTTGGTCCAAGAACCAAGGGGGGAATTAGCGGGTGAGGATTTCTTGGTTTCTTGTGGGTGGTGTGCCGATCAATTAGATGTCAGGTTGGATGATTGGAGCCGATCATGGCGATGATCGCGGTCCTGATGATCGTCTGTTCGGATTGGTGTTCTCTGCTTAAAGATGATGTTCTCGGTTTTGGTGATCCTTTCATCAGAATCGGGGCGATTAGCGTGGATCCTTCGTTGTTTACTCGAATTGGGGTCTTTCTTTACTGGTAGGATGTTAGTGGGTGTGATCTTTTGCCGCCGATGATGCAGTTGGAATCTTGCTTGTTTGTGTGTGTACTGGTTAACTGTGGATATTGTTGATAATTGTTGGATAGGATAAGAAAGGTAGACTTTTGTGGGGGGTGGAGTTGGGAGGAATATGCTTTGTTTTGTGAGGGGGTGGAAGTGGCTCTTTGTCCTTTACCATTTTACATGTTCCTGTTCTGCATCAATCATTTCTTGGTGCAAGCCTCACAACCGTCTAATGGTGTTCTTGACTGGGTTTGGGGGCACTGTTTTGAGATTTCAGTTGTTTTCTTCCTTTGTTTCCTTGATTTTTGGAGGTTGTTTTGCATCTGATTTAGTGTCTGTTTGCCATCCAGAAGAATATGGCATCTCTATATGTTTGGTCAGGGTGATATGCTCTGTTTGATTGCATTGACTTTGGGAATGCTTTCAATTATTGATATGCTCTGATTGTTTGTTTACAAGTGTTGGATGGATTCTTTCTCATCCACTTTTCTGATTCGGATGAATAATATAACATATTATTGTTTAATTGTGTTAAACTAAGGTGTGCTGATGAGCTTGTTAGAGAAGTTACTTAACAATTAATGATTGTAGTTACATGTCTTGATTACATTAATGCATTGCACATTACAGAATGGTCCTGTACTTAATTCACTCTGGACTTCTGGAGAGCCAGGAACACCACAAGTTTGAGATAAAAGCATAAGGCAGTGCAAGTCGCAGCCGTGGCAGATGGACGCCACGACGAGCAGTGGAGCTTCCTCCTCTCTACCCCTCCACCTTATCATAGATGATGCTCTTGCCCTTGTTTCTCCGTTGCAGCAGTCGTTTCAGAGGTCACAGCGCCATTGCTTTGGTGGCTCTGCTCCTGGAGAATTCCCCTTGGCTGCAAACCCATCAATTGTCCTCCATGTCCTCACATCATGCAATCTGGAACCTGATGACCTCGCTCACTTGGAGGCAAGTAGTGTTTTGTTCTTCCTCTCCAATGTAGAATTGATATTGCCACTGATGAAATTTGTGCTTGCGATAGGCAACATGCTCGTTTTTCCGGAAGCCTGCCAATTTCCCTCCCGATTTTCAGTTGTCAATGTCAGAACTCGCAGCGTTGGATATGTGCCAGAAACGGGCGATATTTAAACCTATGACTCAACAAGAAAGAGAAATGTTTAAGCAACGTTGCGGCGGGAGTTGGAAGCTGGTTCTTAGGTTTATAATGGCAGGTGAAGCATGTTGCCGGAGGGAAAAATCTCAGGCAATCGCTGGACCTGGTCACAGCATCGCTGTGACAACAAGCGGTGCAGTGTATACTTTTGGGTCCAACAGCTCTGGTCAACTTGGCCATGGTAGTTTAGAAGAGGAGTGGAGGCCACGGATTATCAGGTGCTTCTAGAATATACAGTTATCATAACTTTAGTCATGACACAAATGTAGATTAAAAGAGTGCTAAATGTCTGTTGGTGCTCGTATAGATCATTGCAGGGTATTAGAATTATTCAAGCGGCAGCAGGAGCAGGACGCACAATGCTTGTTAGTGATGCTGGTAGGGTCTATGCATTTGGAAAGGATTCATTTGGAGAAGTGGAATATGCAGCCCAAGGTTCTAGGGTTGTCACCACACCACAGCTGGTGGAATCATTGAAGGACATATACATTGTCCAGGCAGCAATCGGGAACTTCTTTACTGCAGTTTTATCTCGGGAAGGTCATGTGTATACATTTTCTTGGGGGAATGACATGAAACTTGGTCATCAGACAGAGCCAAATGATGTTCAGCCTCATCTTCTAGCAGGCCCTCTTGAGAACATTCCAGTTGTGCAGATTGCCGCAGGCTACTGCTATCTCCTGGCTCTGGCATGCCAACCAAGTGGCATGTAAGATTTTTCACCCAAACATGCAACTTTTTGTCAATGCTGTGAAGTATGGCTTAGTGATATACTATTTTTTTTAATAAACAAACCACACGTTATTTGCATTTAGCCTCACTCTTCACTATTCAGCCTTGGTTAATTTGACAACAATTAGCTAATAGGTGAACTAATGTCAAGTAAGTATTACATTTGCATGTAGTATAGCTACTGTATTATTTTAATGTTTTGTATGATCAGATAAAATAATAAAAAAAACTAATGTCTCTTATTCCGTTATAACATATGAAAAATTGTTTTAACATTTTCAATGAATTTGTCTTTTGCTTTGATAGACAGGTGAACCAGTATGCAAGTTTTGAATATTTTTACCTATACACCAGCTGTTATAGATATGATAAAACTATTAAAATGCTTTTGTCCTATTTTTGTTGCAGGTCTGTTTATTCTGTTGGTTGTGGGTTAGGTGGGAAACTTGGCCATGGTTCTCGAACCGATGAGAAATACCCTAGGTTAATCGAGCAGTTCCAAGCTTTGAATATACAACCAGTAGTGGTTGCTGCTGGTGCTTGGCATGCTGCTGTTGTAGGCAAGGATGGGCGTGTTTGCACTTGGGGATGGGGGCGGTATGGCTGCTTGGGTCACGGTAATGAGGAATGTGAGTCTGTTCCTAAGGTTGTTGAGTCCTTAGTCAATGTGAGGGCTGTCCATGTAGCAACTGGAGATTACACCACATTTGTTGTATCTGATAAAGGTGATGTTTACTCGTTTGGATGTGGTGAATCATCAAGTCTTGGCCACAACACTATAACTGAGGTTAGGCACTAGTTTTCATGTTTTGAATACTTGAAGTTATTTAACAAAAACATGGAGTTATATTTTCATTCTGTCTGCATATTCACAATAGGCTGTCAAAGCTCAATGCTCTATGATTCTCTACACAGTTCCATAATTTTTGTTAAATGCTACACTAAATGCAATTTACCAATTAAATCACACAGTATGTATTTCAATCTACTATTGTTATTTTCTAAGAGTATTGGTCAGTAATGTCTGTCTTCCGTTTTGTCAAAAGATTGAGGGTCTATTAACCCTCTACTGTGAATTTCATTTTCTTTTAGCTCTTCACCTATCTGCTCATCCTTACTCACAATGATAATCTTCAGTGAAAAGATAAACACATTTGCTCATATACCTTTTATAACTTTGCATTTCTCTCTGCGAATTAGAATCAGTATAATAAACCTTTTCTTTACTCTCTGCTTCTGAACTTGATGTATATTTTTTTCTTTTTCCAGGGTAATAATAGGCACACTAATGTCCTTAGCCCGGAGTTGGTGACTTCTTTGAAAAGAACAAATGAAAGGGTTGCTCAGATCAGCCTCACTAACTCCATTTACTGGAATGCACATACATTTGCACTGACAGATTCAGGAAAACTCTATGCGTTTGGTGCAGGGGACAAAGGGCAGCTAGGTACCGAACTCGTCGCGCAGGAAAGCGAGAGGGGGACACCGGAGCGTGTTGAAATTGACCTCAGTTAGGTCCAAATTGCAACGCCACTTCATCTCCTTTTCTCTCCAGATGCACTCTTCTAACGTTAACTTTCAAATTGATTGCATTGCGCGCCCTTTAGCTTGTTGGCTGTTCATCAGCCTCATCCTGCTCTGCAGCTAATCCTTGTGAAAATAGTTACCATCAATTAAACAGTCTGTTGTTCATATGATTGGTTCGGTTTAGAAACTTTGTATATATGATTATCATGTAAATATAACAGTCAGGTCTCATTGCCAGTTCCTTTAAAACATGAGTAGCTGGCTTTTAACATCCTGTGAAATTTACCTTAACTCTACATCTGCACCATTTATATTTCTTCTAAACAGGGGTGTGTGTGTGTGTGAGAGAGAGATATAATAATATATATTTATATATTTATTTCTAGTTGATTGACATTGTTGTGTACGTTTGGAAATATGCTACTGTCAGCGTGCCGTTTATATTCAGGCCCTGTTAAATTGTCTAGAAGCTCATATGCGATGCTTTTGTGATAAGGTGTTTTTCTGATAAACATGATGTTTGGTACTTCCGCCTTAACTTTCGCTATTCCTTTGCCCTTTTTTGAGCCGCTGTAACTAGCAGTAGGAATGCAAGGAATGCAAGCGGGGTGGGCAAGCTAAATGTCCTAAAATACCATATAACCTTTCATGGCTCCTTTGGAACAAATGAAACTTGGAAGAATTTTGAAGAATTGAAGTGGGGGGGGGGGGGGGGTTCTATGTGATCTTTTGAAACAAAGGAATATATGTAAGAAATTCCTTAAAATTCGTATGGAAGGTGCCATTTCATAGGAATTATGGAGGAAAAATAACATGAGATCTTGCTAGTGTCTATGTTTTTCATATGGGGTTATCAAACAAGATGTTCTGTAATTTCAGGTGAACTTTTTCTTCGTAGGACACGTGACATCCTACCCTGCGTTCCAAAGAAACCCTCAAAATGTAAGGGATAGCTGAATAGGTAGGTGGAATAAATTTGTGTGCAGTTTCAGGAACTGGCAATTTTAACAATACTAAGCATATGAAGTACTAGACTAGAGAGACAGAGAGAAGGGAGAGGAGGGGGAAGAGAGAGTGTGCTGATGTGGCATCCTGATATGTGGGTCCCACGCTAACTTAGCCGCCACGTCGGATAAAATCGGGATCAAAACCACCGAAGGATCTAAAGTAAACGGTTTTTAAAGTTGAGGGATGTCATATATCTGGTTTTGCGGTTGGGAGATGATTTTGTAACTCGATGACAAGTTGAGGGGCTTTCGGTGTACTTTTTCCATATGGGAAACCTGTCTCGCTCAAACGGCCCATGGCCCATGTTCCATGGCCCAAATCCTAAAAGAGGACAAAAAAATTCATAACACATCCCTAACATTTACATTTATTTTTTAAAAGACTCATTACACCCCTAAAAATTCATCCCTAAACATTTACATTTACATTTACATCCCTAAAAATTCATTACACATCCCTAAAAAGATTACATTTATTTTTTAAACAAACTGCACAAGATAGTGCAACATTTACATTGGAGCATCTTTCCCATCCTTAAAGAGGTACCATGAGGTATGAGGTACCAATCTAATCTAACCATCGGTTTAATAGGGGTAGGACCGTCTAATGAAAATGAGGTGCCCGTGCTAATGATCCGTTCCTCGCTGTTGCATTGAAGCTTCCCCGGCGCCTCCGTATCAAGCCTGTTCTCTCGCCGCGGCGCCATCGCATCGACCCTGGCGCGGCTGCCGCCACAACGAGGCTGCCGCGGCCGCCGGCGCATCGAGGCCGCTCCAGGCGCCGCCGCATCCAGCCCACCGCCCTCTCATCGAGGCCGCTGTGCCTGCCGCCGTCCCGAGCCGGCTATTGGCTAGATGCTTATTGCTTAATGGAATATAACAGTAATTAATCGATCCAATAACCATAGTAAGCAAGAGTAACAACGAAGTTTTTTTCCACCAAAAATCAACACCAGTATATTTGTGCCACGAAAGAAATAGGTGGGTGAGCTACTGAGCTTCGCTGAAATTAAAGGACGGGAAGTCAGCCATGCAACTGGCAGCATCTTCTAGCCCAGTAGCCCATGAGCGTAGCCGGGGGGGGGGGGGGGGGCATCACCGAGCTTGTGACCACCACCGCCGAGAGCTTCGCCGGACCCCTGATATTTGCCTCTTGAGATTTCATTAAGATCCTAACTGCCGCTGGCAAGAGCATCACCCTGATATAAGCACCACTGTCGAGAGCCTGGCTGGACCTCCTAATGCCGCCGCCTGGGGCATCGCCGATCTCCTGACGGCGCCGCGCCGCCTGGGGCTTTGACGATGCAAAAATGAGAGGCGAGAGCATCATGGAAGAGGATAAACGCGAAAGTACATATTTACCCTTTCACTCTACTCCCGCACACCGAAGGAGGAGCGGTACCCCCATGCAAAGTAGGAGAAAATTGGGATTATACTATCGCAAAAGAGTGGTTTCGCTGAAATACTATCCTTTCAAATTGATTCACTAAAATGCTATCCTAAACTGAGAGGTGTTCACCAAAATACTATTTTCGCTCTTTTAGGTGAATAGAAATGTTTTTCCTCAATTTTAACTTTTTTCCGGACCAAAATACCCCTAATGCGGGCCCACCTGTCATACTCTCTCCACACTCTCTTTCTCCTTCTTCCTCTCTCGAGGGAGCGCCGCTGGCTCGCCTCCTTCGCTCCGCTAGTGGCTTTCCTCCCTCGCTCCGCGGCCGCCTCCTTCGCATCACCGCGGTGCGTCGCCGCCACCGTAGCCGTGCACGCGGCCGCCACTGCGTCCAACTCCCTGGCGACCGCGACCCCGAAGAAGAGGGTGGCGACGGGCGAGAGCACCGGTGGCCGGAAGGCGAGTAGTGGCCGACGCCGCGTTGCTGTCCCTCTCCCCCTCCCCGCTCGCCGCCCTCCGCCCGCCCCTCCTGGCCGCCTCCTTCGCTCCGCTACTGCGTGCTGCCGCCACCGTAGCCATGCACGCGGCCGCCGCGGCGTCCAACTCCCCGGCGGCCGTGGCCCCGAAGAAGACGGCGTCTACAGGGCTGACGTAGCCCTGGTCGTGTCGCCAGCGCTTCAGGCGGTGGTGGGAGCCGCGGAGATCCCCCGCACCAAGGCGCTCTAGATGCTTTTCTTCGCGCCGCCGCCGCCGCCTTCTTCATGCCTCCGCCGCCTTCTTCGCGCCTCCTCCACCGCATCACCGCCGCATCGTCGCCACCGAGGAGCAGGAGGCGGAAGCCGCACCGGATGCGACGATGAAGAGCCACTGGTCGACGGGCTCCTCGACGAAGCTGGCCGTCGAGCGTCGGCGAGCGTCGGCAGTGGCTTCGTCGTCGTCGGTGATGAGGTTGGTCCCGCGCCGCCACACCTGCCCCACCCTCACTAGCCCCGCGTCGCCATGCCCCGCTCCACCCTCGCCATGCCCACCCGCCGGCCACCTCGCGCTCCCAACGGCATCCTCGAGAGAGGAAGAGGAGAAAGAGAGAGTGGAGAGGGTATGACAGGTGGGGCCCGCGTCAAGGGTATTTTGGTCCGAAAAAAGTTGAAATTAGGTAAAAACATTTATATTTACCTAAAAGAGCGAAAATAGTATTTTGGTGAACACCTTCAGTTTAGAATAGCATTTTAATGAATCAGTTTAAAGCGATAGCATTTCAGCGAAACTACTCTTTTGCGATAGTATAATCCCAATTTTCTCGCAAAGTAGCGGTACCGCTCATGCTCGACCGTTCGATCTTGCTCATTGAACGACCACGATTTGGTACTGGCCACTCTCAAGGACAGTAAAAATCCTCTTTACATTGATAGAGCACTAAAGAGATTACATGTCTATAGCTCTGGGAGATTTTAGCCAGGAAACATGAAAGGGATGAGAAGTAAAAGATATTCACACCACGAGTCTACAAGTAAAGCAGGAAAGCGACATCTCTACAAGGATTTTCACTTGGAAAGTCGATCGGGACATGGTTTTCGACCGAAGAAATCCATCGAGAGGGCAAGAAAGATCATGCAACAAGGGAAATGTGGCACCCGCAAGTGTTGCAATTGCTGGCCCGAACAGGCTGGGGTTATGTTCGTAATCTTTTTCCCCTCTCGTGTCGAGACCGCTTGCCGAAAACAGCAGCCACCGCGTCAACGCCTCGTCATCGGTTGGCCATCAAGTAGGATCCCGACATTCGGCGTGCTCCAATTTCATCCACGCAGTTGGCTTAGAGAGGGAGAGGGTGAGAGAGAAAAATGGCCCCCTTCTTCCCTACTTTAGCCCGCCAACGTGGTCATCTTGTGGCGGCAATGCGCCGTCGCCGCAAGAGGACTAGCATCTGCATCAAAGCTCGCCATAGGTCTAGAATGCCCACCTCACGGGGCTACCATCACCGCCACCTTGGCCGGACTACCTGCATCATCCCCGTCTCGAGTCGCGTCACTAGCCCTGTTGCCCTTGCTGCCGCTGGATCTCGACTCGGAGCACCATCCAGTCTCCTACCCATGCCGTGTTTGCTCATCTTGTCGACTTGTCGTTGGTCGTGGCTTCTCGTTGTCCTCGCCACCCCGCTCTAGTTGTATGTCCGCCGTCATCACGCTGGCATCTGGCCATCGCTGCTTGCACAACGCCGACCTTCCTGCTTGTGCCCCAGGCGCAGTGTCACGCCCGGAATTTCTATCCAAAATTCCAAACGCTTACATGTGTGTTAAACCCTCGTCTAGGAATCAACCGAGGCACACAATGACAATATCGATAATAGAGTACAAATAATTAACTATCGAATATTCGCAAATAATAAAATATTACAGAGGTAGATAGTTCCTCTCAAAGCAATAACATTCTACGCAGCGGAAAACAAAACTAAAACAAACTACGGAACAGCGATGGCAACTCCACTCCACAGGCAACTTAACCAAGAACAAGCCTAATCCTCCAAATCATCACCTTCACTGAAGTACTCCTCTTCTGATGAATGAATATTGCAAGAATGAGCATATAACATACTCAACAAGCCACACAGCAAATATGCAAGTGCACAGGATAACAAAGGATGGCATATTATAGCTCATTTGCAGAAAACAGCATTTAATAAATATTTAAGAGAATAGTAAAAACAGTTGTATAATTAATCAATATTAAATAAACACTATACAACACACCCATGTTGCATAGGCCCAACCACATTTGAACAACCAACCCCAGTTGAACAAATTAAACCTCCAAACCAGGAATTATCCATTCCAAACCAGGAACTAAATTAATTACCACATTATTACCATTAACGAGTAGTGTGAGACTAATCACGAAAAACATTGCTCAACT